CTTTTCTCTCATAAGGACTATATAAAGAACATTGGAGTTTATTAAAAGTAAAGTGTTACTGAGATTGCTAGACAAATTACTCACTAAACTAAATTATTTTGTATTCACATTCTCTTTTTTATAAAGCTTTTATCTATAAAGTTCAGTATATTATGGTCTGAGCTCAAGTAGGTACTTGAGTTACACAAGTTCCAGGTGCTTCAGTGCGGGCTGGAGGTGCTTATTAGCTCAAGATTCACCCCTCACCCCTGAACAACATCTGATCCTGCTTCCACTGAAAGAAATGGAATTAGGATAAGGTCCTTAATAGAGTTGTGATGCAAATTATGTCACCATTATAGTTTCAAGGTGTTCTCTATTGATTTTATTGGCAAATGGAATATTTTGGTTCCTGTCATTCATAAGTTAAGGTGGTGTAAATGTACACTTTAAAAAAATTACTGGCTGATATTGAAAAAAAATGCTCAATTCATTAGCCAGATTAACATCCTATACAGTAATATATTAATGGAATATCCAACTTCTAAGGAAACCCTTATTGTGCAGTATAGGGTGCCTGGTCCAAACTGAAGCTCTAAGTATCAGTTGGCAAAAAGACTGCAGACAAAGCAATGTTTTATCAGATCCATTTATTGTAACTGTCTATTCTCAGCTGGATACCCCCAGGAGTTGTGTATATGATTTTTTTCTCTTACCCTCCCCCACATGAAATTAGTAAATCATCTTAATCTGGTGTCCTCTGAGTAATATTTCGTATAAAATATAAGGGTTCAACATGTGTGGGAGTTGCCTGAGAATCTCAGTACTAGAACACATTCTTCTGTAACAAAGAGCAAGTTAAGTGCTCAGATCTCTCGGTATATTTTCACATCAGCAAATAACTTGCATCAGAGAATTTTCTTTACAATTTAGTAGAAGCAATCTGTGTATTTAGCTGGGTTGAGGATGTGGCATTTAATGCACAATCAGCTTTATTTTAGAGGATATAGATCAACAATTCACCTGTTTTCTGGGGGGAGGGGTGGGGAGGAAAACACAGAAATTTCACAAGGCTTCAGTCTTGTAACAAACTAGTTAGACATCCATGGGGGCTCACTTCCTCCCCTGGGGATACTGTTTTCATTACAAGCTCTAGTGGAAGAGCTCTGCTCCATTAAATAGTATACAAATAGTTCAGGGTATCAAAGGAACTAATCATTCCTAAACTACACATTCTTGTTATAAACCAACCCCAAACATTTAAAGCCTGAGAGTTTTTGCATTTTTTAAAAATTAGATAGGTCTTGGTTTTCAATAAGATTAATATTTTTACAACATAGTTAAGTCACAGGCTAAGAATAGAGGTCCCCATATTATTCTTCATTGAGGACTACAAAAATCTGACTGTGTGCTTCAAGTGGTACCCATGTAAAGAAAGACTTTAGCTGTGTTCCAAGATTCTCTGACAGCAATAAAAGACATTAAAGTAATGAAGCAAAAACCATTTATGAATTATTAAAAGGGTCTGAAAGGCGATAGAATTTAGCTTTGTTGGTTTAATTTTTTTTTTTAAAGAATGTAAAAATGAGGTATTTTTGTGCCTAGACATGTAATCCTTAGGCAAAACTGACTTGTAGAGAGGGTCTTGACTGAAGAAAGACTGATGGAGTGGCCTTTTAGTTGATGGAGGGATCAGTTTGCTTTCCTTATCCTTTTAGAGTATTCCAAAGGCCATTTCTAGGTTTGTAATTTACATTCTTGCCTAGTCTTTATAAAAGTACCTGAGGGAAAAATTCTATTTTCTGATTTATTTATTTTTAACTTGGAAGAAAAAAAAGGTCCGTGCTTTGAATGTATAGTGACAAGGACATCTAAACTTGCATTCTGATATGAATGATTAGAAGTAAATAATGTTCCAAAGGTTAAAATATACATTTTAATTGTAAAGAAAAAAAAATCTCATGCACACAACCATTTGAGCTGTTACTGTGTTTTAATCAAAGATACTGCTGCTTAGCTGTGTTCTCCACCAGCAGCTAATTTAAAAAATGGATACATCAGTCAGTGAGTATTATTTCTCTGGATTACCAGTGTGTGAATGACCTATAGTTCTAGTTTCCACTTATTTTTGTAGCTTTGACAGACAAAATAAGTAGTACAGGTTATACACATGGGTTGTTCTTTTAAGATTAATAGATGCACATAAATAAATATATAATCTTGCCTTCCTCTCCCCCCAACCCCCAAGAGAACTCATGTTTTAACAAAAAAAGAACAGAGTACTTGTGGCACCTTAGAGACTAACAAATTTATAAGAGCATAAGCTTTCATGGGCTACTGCCCACTTCTTCGGATGCATGTTTTAATACTCAGTCTCATAGGCCTGGGCACCTTTCTAATTGTTTCTGCTGTTGGATTTCCCCTTTAATACCAGAACTCAGTGTGAGCTGCTGATACACCACTTTCATATTTCTTTCTAGTTATCCCTGTTGCCAAACCTGTCCTCTGTTCAGAACAGTATGAGGCTACTGTAAATACATCTTCAGAATTCTGCTCTGCCTACTAATTTTCCCTGGGAGCAGATATCAAGGCTGATGTTTAAAGAAACAAACCAAAAGAAATCAACAGCCAGTACTGGTAGAACCATATCCATAATTGCAAGATCTGCATTCTTCCAGCATAAGAGAATTGTGACATGTTTCAGGCAATGAGTCAAAATCTTGTGTCTGCTACAGTTGCATCACTGGAGTGACCAGCTGAAGTTTTAAGTAATTATCAAATATTGTAACGATCAAAAAAGGCCCACTTGAAATTACAGTATTATGATCCATTGTGTTTAGTGTTTGTGGTCACCTTCGGATTACACACGGGTTGTAGTTCAAAAGGTTCACAGTTGTTTTTTAATTTAGAAAAGCACTATAACTTGCCCAACGTTATAAAATGATACCAGATGTTACACAATACAAGATTACATCAGTATCTCCCCTGCTCTCTACTCAGTTTACATTCAGAGTCTATCTAGAGATTAAGGAAAATTGTTTAACTGGCCTTGAAAATGTTTTATAGATTCTGTTCAGGTCCTATGCTCTAATTTACAAAGGTCTTAATGAAGCAGTTTTTCCAGGAGTATGTGTGTTTACCTCTTTCATCATACCAATTTGAATGGTCAATATGAGCTGATTTTAAAATAGGGGCCAAATAGTGAATGAATTCTTGGAACACAATGAAAATTCTCTAGAACCAAGGATGCTTGAGTATCCCATCTGAAGATGATTCTACTTCTGACCAATATATTTTTGTATATTTTTCTTGTACAATTTTGTGTGTCCTAACTATACACGCAGAGCAAGGAACTATATAAATAAACTGGGAAATAGTTTGTTTCTTTAACAATAAGGTGAATGACAAGTGATCATATTGCAGCATTTACTCATTTTTTCCTGAGTGAGGACTGTAGGATTTGCAATTAAAAGTGCCTTTTAACTTTTGGATAGGAAAGAAGTGCCATGTCAGATTTTTACTTTGTTCCTGTTTAAGTTAAAAATAATTTCCTTTCTTTTATACCTTGTCTAATCAATAGCCTGCTTGTGAGTTTCTTTTTTGAAGTTGACATTAAAAAAAAAAGAGAATTCTGGTGCTGATTTCCTTTTAAGCCCTGAGCCTGCAAGTTATTGTACATAAGCACAGGGTCTGGCCATGGAAACTTGCAGGATTGGGGCTGTAGAGTGGAATAAATCAATAGTTTGAGAATACTGGATGGGATTTATGACAATTCCACAAAGATACTCAACTATGTTTCACTGCTGTGAGGACCGAATTATATAGCTAATTATTCTTTCACCAGTCTTGCTCTAAGAATCACAATTTTGGTCAATCTCTTAATTAACTGAAAAGTCTTTACAACTGTTTTTCATTTTTCTTATACATTTTACTTACATTGAAAACTTTAAGCAATTATCAAAGGTTTGCTAGCAGAAGCTGTCTCTTAGTATACATCAAATAATACTGTACTGGACAGTATAGAGAAATATTTTAAAGCAGTTATTTAAGACAAGAGGCTGCCTACTTAGTTTTTGACACAGAGCAATACTTAAGTTTTGTGTTCATTTTTTTCCCCCCACTTGATTTTCCTCATTTCTCTTTTTACCTCAGAGGTACATCTTTCACTCTGGATGATTTTTGTTGAATGCAAGGAGAAGAACAGCCTCAGCAGGATTTCCTCCCTCCCCCTGCCCCATTTTAAACGTCTTGTTTTCAGAGCTCCCTCAACTGGAACACAATTAAATATTTGGGGGGAAAATGTGACATTTTAAATGTCACTGGAATACACAGCAAAATCTGCATACCCCTATTACCTTTGGAGCTGGTCACCATCTTCAAAATTAAACGGGGCCATAATAGTCCATAGGATTTGGAATGACAGTGGAGATGATTTTCTCAAAACAAAATTAATTCCAGGTTAGCTTTCCATCAGGCATCGCTGCTCTGGCCTGTGCTATTAGCTCTCACTTTTATGCCTATATAGGAGACAAGGAGAAAACTTGTATCGTACCCACCCCCATCCTTGGCTGGTTGACACTATTAGGCAATGCCATGTCTAGTTTAGAGTGGAAGTTTAAAAGGGCAGAGCCCATGTCTTCTTACTTGCCTGTAAAGCCCCCGTACCCTTGGGCAAACAACCACCGCCAGAAGACAACATGACAACATCAACTAAGGCTGGATTAAATATTTGAGGGCACAGGGACCCTTTCACCCCACAGTAAGGTACCACTGAAATGCAGCCACCTCTGGGTGTCAGGGCAGCAACCAGACAGCACAAAATGGGGTGTAGAGGGGGTGCCCGAGGAATGGGGCGTGGGGCCTGCTGGCCCCGGGCAGAGCCAGGTGCTCTGCAGGTTGGGGTCACGGATGCCCCCCCCCCCCGTTCCCTACTAGCCCGTGTCAGTCCGGCGGGGCGGGGCGGGAGTACAACCCCCCCAGCCGCCACCTGACCCGCTCCGCCGTGACAGACAGCCCGTACCGGTCTCGAGTGCTGGGAGGCGGGGCGGCTCGCCTGGTCCCAAGGAAGCTCCACAGCCGGCACCTGCTGCAACGCTGGGTGGGGGCCAACGGGCCGGAACCGTCACTGGCCCCCGCAGGCTGCATGGCGGTGAGTGACTGTCCGTGGCCGTACACCGGGCTGGGGGGGTGGAGGGGGCTCCCAGCCCCTCACGGCACCCGACCGTAAACCTACTGCCCCTCCGCAGGGCTCCCTGGCCCCGCCCCCCAGCGCGCGCCCCCCTCGCGGCCCGTTACCGCCCCCCCATACACCCAGCACGCGCCCCCCTCGCTGCCCGTTATCCTCCACACACTCATAGCACGCGCCGCCCCCCACTGCCCGTTACCG